TTGACAAAGAGTCCACGCTATTCAGATCCCCCAAAACAACAAAAGGGACGCAAGAGACTAAAAAATGTCACACAATATGTCAAACAACCAGGAAGGACATCAAAGTATGTCGATTGAAGACCGTCTCTATGAATTATTCGAGACGGAGATTCTTCAAAGTGTTAATGAGTCTAAGGAAACCTATGAGTCCGAGCTAGTCAATCACTACACTCAGAAACTCAAACTTAGCACTCTTAACTGGTGGTACCAAAAAGATTTGGTGCCAAAGAGATATCAATTTAGAAACCAAATTGAATCAAACGATCAAGTCTTAACTAAAAGACTCGAGCTCGAACGATTATCTCACATTATCAACCAATTGAATACAAATATCAAAAGCGTTGATCAAATCACTGAAGACCTGCAAGCCGACGCAAAAAGAAAACTCATGATAGTCATGGAGTCTTGCATCGAGACTATGCAGTACGATCCAAGCCAACGAAACTTCGAAATCTTGGAAAACGTAAAGGTCCTCTTCAAGCAAAAACTCGATGAACTATTATCGGATCTTACAAAAGAAACCTCTTTTATACAAATAAAGCAGGCTCGCCTTTGCAAGAATAAAACCGAAAAAGCTATCAAGAAACTTGAAAAGTTTGAGGAAGCACAATTCCACGATGCTATTATGACTACTGAGCAAAGTAGTGATCATCGTACTCCCACGTCTTTATGTTGCCATCACTGTACCCTGGATAAACAGGAATACATTAGAAACAACAGACCTAGTACGAGGAATGTCAAGAAATCCAATGGGAATAAGAAACCTAATGGGAATAACAAGGCAAACCGTACCAGGAAGGATAGCCCAGGATCAAAACCTTCCCGGCCTAATCAACAAAGACCATACCAAAGGGAGACTTCAACAAGGACTAACCAAAAAAACTGGCTGAACTCTCTTACGAATCTGCAACGGAATCAATCCAAAGCGAACGTAAGAGAGTCCAACAGAGGAAAAAACCAGAAAAGAAAGGGCCAAAGAAAGCCGATGAAAAAATTTTCCTCAAGACAAGAAGACTGAAAACAAAATGTGACAAGGGAACGACCTACTCTACTTCTTCGTCCCGTTCTGTACCTAAACCTGACTCCATACACGACTCGGGCCTTTTAGATGCAGTACCCGTACATATGATAGGAATAGAGGACCGTTCCAAACTAGCATCCATAGAGCCAACGTTGCAACTCGGTGCTAAATTTATCCCTCTTACCCTTACAATAAATGAAAAAAACAAAAGAAATAAGAAAAACATTAAAAATAAAGAAAAAAATAGAAGCCTTAATAGTCCAATCATTACAGAAATCAATGACCATGAAAGGACTATGATTAAACACACTAAAGAAGACCTCTGGCGCGACATCAAGTTGAACCAAGTCTTTCAGAAGGCATATACCCTGGAGTCATCTTTCGACCCCAGGTTCCATATTAAAAAGGACAGATCAATCAGATGGTCCCCACCGGACCCAGGCCCATTAGCGCCACTTAAGAGTGAGTTAGAAAACGAATTCGAAAACTACTCACGGAAAAAAGTCGAGATAATACCAAATACAAAGCAAATCACTTTAAAAAATCTCACAAATGTCCAAAAAGAGCATGAATTGATCATTAAACCAGCAGACAAGAATCTAGGTCTCACTGTAATGAGCTTGTCCTGGTATAATCAACAGCTCGATAAACACCTCTCCAACAAAGAGGAATACACACTACTGGGACGCTACGTTGTAAGAACATCACTCGCAAGATTACCATATCACAAATACCAAAGGTTACTCAGAGACTATGTTATAACATCCCCTTACTTTACTAGCCAGCAAAAGACTTTCCTCCAGCACGTGACGGAGCAAGACTTTGCTAATCTCCCCAGCTTCTACCTTATACCAAAGGTACATAAGAAAGACCCAACCACTCGACCAATCATACCAAGTCATAAGTATGGTACGAGCAAGCTCTCACAAGTTCTCTCAGCTCACCTCAACGAATATGTTAAGGAATTCAGCTGGATCATTAAGGATACTAGAGACTTGATAGCCAAACTCAAAAAGGTCGAGCTCCTGTATATACGAGAACGCTTTCCTCATAACAGAAATACCAGCACGAATGCACTAGACAGCCTAGTAGACATTAGCGACTGGAATGGTAAAGAGCCATACGGAAAGATTGCCTCGTATATGATCATAACGGGAGACGTTACAAGTCTCTATACAAACATCCCAACAAATGAAGGATGTGAAACTATTCGTAACTTACTAAGAGACAAGGGTCAAGCTAATAAAGCAGAAACGTTCTTCCATCTCACTAAATTCGTGATGGATAGTAACTTCTTCAGCGTTCGCAACGACCGAATCTATAGGCAAAGAAAAGGCACTGCAATGGGCACAAGTATGGCACCTGAATATGCTAATATCTATCTA